AAAAATTTTGTGGTTGCCATTCCTAGATTATATAATATATATTTATTTCACTCTTAGAATAATAATTGTATATTTTTTTTAATGGTTAATTTTAAATTTTGAAAGTTATAAATACTTTTTTATCAGCAAATTAATATTAATTTTTTAAACCTATATTTAGTTGGAATAAAAATTTATGCAAGTACTGCAAAATCTCGAAGTAATGCGTGCATTATTTCGTTACCTGCGCGTTATTTGAGTGCACTTACCGTAATTTCGCGTAATAACGCTCTTCGAAAATCGTGTCCCTAAAAATAATATATATGGTTTCAAAATAACGCCCGTGCGCGTCCCAAAATAGCGTACATCCCATAGTAAGGGACGTTTATGTATAGTAAGGTTTAAAAAAAATTTTCGGAACTGGATTTAGTACTAAGTAAACCTTTAGTAAACTTTCAAGCTTTAACAAAATTTGTTCTTCAGAACAACTTTTGTTAAAGTTCGAAAGAAAGTGTATTTAGTACTAAATCAAGTTCCGAAGCATTTTTTTATTTGTTTACTTTTTATACAAGAATTAAATTATTTTAATTGTTGCAAAATAACGCTCATACGCGTACTCGAAATAAACGCGCAGGTGAGCGAAAATATGATATGTGTTTTATTCCGAGGTGAGGGTATCAATTTCTAGACCTGATTATTATATGAGATGAGCACTGTTAAAGAAAAATCCAGAAATCTTATATAAAATTTCAGGGGTTTCCTTAGGGAACAGGGCACGGAGGTTTTGGTAGGGCATGCCTTTTACTAAAAAATTTACATATGTAAAAATTAACTCATGAAAAAATTTTGAGGGGCGTGCCTATGGGCATGCCCCTAAATTTAAGAAATTGAAGGCATGCCTTTAAGTTAAAGTTGTGCCCTGAACCTAGGTTTCCTTGACATCACTTATACGTGTTATTTCGGGAGCTAAAGAAACTAATTTTTAAAATAACGCCAATACTTGTTATTTTCACATTTTGAGTCCAAGCTTTATTTATCGAGTATTCCTGACACGAAATGAGAAAATCGCTAACTGATAGTCTTAGATTACTTAGGTAAATAATATGTTTCAGAATCATGCTATGTAAACTTAAAACTTGAATCTCTCAACCTATAAACTTATTAACACTTTACAAGCAATTTTCAGTATACATAGAAGCACTTACGAAACAATTCCTAATATTATGAAGTAGCATGATGAGAAAATTTCCACTAATTTATTAGACATAATTTGTATGATTAGAAAATATCTACAATAAGTTTTAACATGAGCTAAGATAATAGTTCTTTCATAGCTAAGAAAATAGATCTTTCATAACTAATATCAAAATATAATTCACGCAAAATATCAAAAAATATAATTCACGCAAATATCAAAAAATAGATCATCTAACAAAGCTAATTATTTCTTTGGCGAAATCAAAAGTTTCAGAAACAGTGCTATGAAAGTTAAAATTTTCATTTGTTCGCCATGATAGATGTTTCACGCTAATAGAATCTTCATTTTTAATCTTGCCCTTGTTATCATGACAAGTTGTTTCAATAGTGACCTGAAACTTATCATTACTTTTAAACAAATAAAAAAAAAAAAAAAAAAAGGAAAAAAAATTAAATTCAAAATCTACAAAACTTAAAAAAAGTATAATAGAATTTACATACTAAAAACATTGTTTTTTAAACTTATGTTGGACGCATTCACATCTAATATCAGAGAAATCATTGCAACTAAACCATTGTCCATTCCAATTTCTAATTTTAGGTTTATCTTGCAGTTTCTTCACGAATTCGTCTAAATCAGGATCCCATTTAATATCATACTGTGTTTTAACTGAAAGTCTTAAATCAGGATCATCAGATCCTGAAACAATATCAACGCACGCTAATAAAATAAAATTTTAAAAAATATATAAAAAAAAACAAATTCATCTTATAAAAATAAATTAATAAATTTAAACTTACAAACACGTTTGATGTCTGTTGCTGCTCTGGTGATCTTCCAAATACCTAATCACTAAAAATTTTAATTTTAGATCAAAATAAATTTCAACCTTAAATTTAATATTGACCTTCATCTTCATCCCATTCCAACTTCAATTTATTCTTCTTTCCTTCCTTCATATATATAACTCTAATGCTTCTTTTATTTTCGATAGACTTATCATCTTTTCGTTCTTTTAATTTAAATTTTTGTTTAATTAGATCCATATTGTCGATAATTTTGGCAAAAAGATAATGACTGAAAGTAGTTGCAAGAGAGGCATCTCCTTTTCTTTTAAATCT